AATTACACGAATGGTGGCAGGCTTGACGACAGGACTATAAGTGGCATGAAAATCCACACCAGGGCGTTGGTGGAACCCTTTGGCCACCAACCGGGCCTTGTAACGAGCAACAGAACCGTCGGCATTGCGCTTGATACGGAAAATCCACCTGCAACCAACAACATTTGCATAATCCGGCCGTGGGGTTAAGGACCACGTCCCTTTAGCGGCGAGCGCAAGAAGTTCCTCTTGCATTGCTTGGCGCCAAAGAGGATCAAGGAGTGCCTGTCTCACACTGGTAGGCTCGACGGGAGAGGAGGGCGGGTGGCGGGTGGCGGTGAAAAGCCGTTTGGGTTTATAAATGTTATTTTGGGAGCGAGTGATAATTTTACGTGGGGGAGGCGGAGGAGGGTTGGGTTCGGTGGGAGTGTGGGAGGGTGGGGTGGAAGGTGGCGTATCATGAGGGAAGGAGGAAGTATTTGGGGAAGGAGGGTGATTGGTAGTGGAAGGATTGGCGGAAGTTAACGGGGGAGAGGGGTTGATTGGGGCCAAGGGAGGAGATGTGGTGGGAACAGTAAAGATGGGAGGGTCAATGGAAAGGGAAGCCCGCCAAGTATCGATGGAGGAGGGAGAAGGAGTAAAGTGTTGAAATGGAAATTGATTTTCGTCGAAAGTGACGTGTCGAGAGCTGTAAACACGACCAGACAGCGGTTCAAGACATAAATAAGCACTTTGAGTTGAACTGTAACCCAAAAAGACACAGGGTTGAGAACGAGAATCAAGCTTGTGAGATGTGTATGGACGTAAATACGGAAAACAAAGGCAGCCAAAAGTGCGAAGCTTATGGTAGTTGGGAGTTGTACGAAACAATTTGTAATGAGGAGAGACGTTGGAAAGAATGGGGGTGGGGAGCTTATTGATCAAGTAGACGGCGGTATGGAAGGCGTAAGTCCAATAAGAGGTGGGAAGGGAAGCTTGATGAAGAAGGGAGAGACCGGTTTCAACGATGTGACGATGGCGGCGCTCGGAGAGCCCATTGTGTTCCGGAGTGTAGGGTGGAGTGGTTAGATGGTTTATGCCATGGGTAGCCAAAAAGGAGTTGAGCTTGTCATATTCACCACCCCGATCAGAAAACAAGGTCACGATGGAGCTTTGAAATTGATTTTCGACAAGAGCCTTGAAGCGAGGGAAGACAATAGACAGATCAGATTTACGTTTGAGGGGAAAAAGCCAGACATATCGACTATAATGATCAACAAAAATCACATAATAACGAAAATTATCAACTGACAAGACTGGGGCTGGACCCCACACATCTGAATAGATAAGTTCCAAGGGACGAGAGCTACGAAGAGAGGAATCAAAAAAGGGCAAACGATGACTTTTGCTACATTGACAGGCCTGGCAAGTCGAGACAGCGGAGGGGACGAAAGGGAGAGAGTGATCAGCAAGAACACGATGGAGAATTGGTGGAGCGGGATGGCCGAGACGACGGTGCCAATTGTCACCGGATGTTTTAGCGCCGACCAAAGCACACGGACGCAGCTTATTGAGAAAAATGGCTGGAAACGCATACACACCATCTCTAGCGTGGCCCGAAGCAGAGGTGTTCCCGTAGGCTGAGATTTGACAACAAAGGAAGATGGGAAAAATTCAACAGAGGCACAGTTAGAGGCACAAAATTGGGATACGGAGATTAAATTTTGTGAAATAGATGGGGAACAAAGGACATTGTCTAGGGAAAAAGTATGCGAGGGGGAGGATAGGGAAAGGGAACCAGTGTGAGTAATGGGCAAACCTGAACCATCTCCAATGGCGATAGTGTCAGGACCAGCATACTTCTCCGAGTGCGCTAGGTTGTTGAGGCTGTCAGTAACGTGATGAGAGGCGGCAGAATCAAGCAGCCACGAGGGAGTGGAGGCGCTGGTGGTGACATGAGCTTGGGGCTGATTGGGACGCAGCTCTGGATGGATGCGGAAGCAGGTGCGAGCGGTGTGACCAACTCGCTGGCAGTACTGGCAGACAGGCCGGGAGGACGCCGATGCAGAGGAGGCAGGAGATGGCCGTGGGTTGGAAGGTGTCGGCCCAAGTAGGGACGGAGGGCGAGAGCTGGTGGACCTGGAGGAGGAGGACTGACGACCAGCAGAAGAGCCGCGATGCTGACGAGCAGTAGCATGGGCTAGAGGAGACTCAGACATCGTGGCTGTACGCTGAAGGTAGTCGTCATAGCTAACCAGTTTATCGTACAGTTCGTCAAAGGTTGGAGGAGTGTCACGAGCACGGATAGCAGCAGAGATCTCCTTGAAATCGGACCCGATATTGTTGAGAGTATGAAGGATAAGATCCAGGTCATTAACCGGGTCTCCGATGCGGGCAAGTTCGCCAGCGATTACCTTGATGGAGGACAAATAGGCAGAAACAGACTGATTTCCACGAGACGTAAGAGAGAGCTGATCGCGCAGATGCATAGCACGAGATCGCGAGCGACTCGCAAACATCCGTTCAAGGATGGCCCAGGCTTCTTGCGCAGTGGGAGCAGCATCAATGTGCGGCATGACCTGTTCGCCGACGGAAGCAAGAATGGCATGAAAGATCAGACGATCTTGTCGTGCCCAGCAGCGGTAGGCAGAAGAGGTCCGGTCAGCGGGAGGGGTTCCGGTACCGTCGATGTGAGTGAGTAGATCATACCCAAAGAGAAGGGAGTGAAACTGAGATTTCCAGGAAGAGTAGTTGGGTCCGGTGAGTTTGACTGTGAGCTGGGAGCCTACGTTGAAGGAGATGAGAGATTGAGGGAGGAGACTGTCACCGGAGTTGGAGACGCGGACATCAGAGGTCTCGCTGGTCATGGTGAAGGGATAAGAAGAACAAGGACCGGAAGAGAATAATGGCTTTGAAGAATAGTGACGGGAAAGAGGAAAGAACCTTGTTAGAGGATTTTGATTGGCTTTGATACCATATAGAATAAGAGAATAGTTGGAAGAAGACTGTAATTCTATTATTGGATGTTGTATTGTTTTATACAGTGGATGAATGTACCGTTGAGCTAAACAGAAAGGAGAAAAGAGAGGGAGAGAGTCGCGGAAGGTAAGTACAACAGAACATGAGTGGAGGAGGTAGACTCGGAGTTGGTTAACTCCTAATACGGAGAAGATGGAAAGCGAGAGAAATATTTGTCTTTGTCACCGTCTTTCTCTGTTTTTGGGCACCAGTCTATTTTTTCACTATTTATTTTATTTTATTTATTTATTTATGGTAAAAATGAGTTGGACATTAAAATATATTAAATTTTATTTTTTATTTTTTAATTACCACGTCACTAAGTTAACGGTCAACTTTAAGAGTTGACTGCCACATCAGCAAAAGTTAACAGAGTTGGACGGCGAGTGACCAAACGTGAACGGTTTCAGTAAGCCGAAGTACCACTAATGGATTTAAATATTTCAAGTCACCAAAATTGAATGTTTTTTGTAATCTCATTAATCAACCATGCAATTATCTCTATTATTTATGAACAAAATAATCGATCATTCCCGTTATATCCGTAATATTCACGTCGGTTTCATGATCACCATAATTTTTACACACCTCGCCATTGCCCATTAGTGCTCCCACCGTTCCACTTCATTGATCAACCCCTGGCGGTGGAGACACGAGGATTGTCCTATTCCTGTCCAGACCCGCTCAATTTCTACTTCACAATTAAACCAGTCACCAGTCACCACTCGCCAGCGTATACAAATTGGTGACGTGCAAAATAAAACATGAAAATATGATGACCATTTAGTAAGCAAGTGAAAGTATATATACGAAATTGGCAAATTCTTAATCCCTGGATAGGGCTGTTAATGAGCCGAGTCGAGCCGAGCTTTGCCATAGTTCGGGCTCGGCTCGTTAATATATATCCAGGCTCGAGCTCGGCTCGTGTTCGTCACGAGCTTTAATATGCAAGCTCGAGCTCGGCTCGTTTATAAAAATGAAAGCTCGAGCTCGACTCGAGCTCGGCTCGTCAACTAAGCTTAACGAGCCCAAATTCAAGTTCAGCTCATAAAATGTTCATCATAGCTCAAGATTGACCTAGAATTGCGCACAAAATTACATTCTAACCTGTAGCAAAGTCTAGCAAAGTAAAACACAATATTTATCCCAATTTCAATACATAAAATCCATGAATTCTAAACTTTTTTTTATGTCAAATCATTAAACGAGCTTGTTCGCGAGCTTTCGAGCTGAACATGGTATGGCTCGAGTTCGGCTCGTTTAGTTAACGAGCTTGTTCGCGAGCCGGCTCGATTAAAATGAATCGAGTGTCGAACAAGTTTTTCTCGAGTCGCACACCGAGCCGTTCATGAGCGACTTGGTTCATGAGATCGAACGAGTTTTTCTCTAGTTCTAAACGTGGACGGGAAGTAAGTGGATCAGTTAATCATACAATTGAGCAGTTGAGGCTGGGCCCTGAAATTCGCAGCTAAAAACGGGCCCAACCGCCCAATGAAAAAAAGCGAGAATAAAGTTTCTTTTTTTTTTTTGGAGAAAGAGAATAAAGTTTCTAAACTGACATTTTACAAAGAAAAGTTCCAGACTGACAAGGAGACTTTACAGTTATGAAAATCAGGTTCCATCTCAATCCTCATTTTCCTCTGTATCCATTTCAAAATCAACGTCAAATCAAATCTAAATAAAAATGGTGGAAAATGAATTAATGAGATAAAACATCTTAATTTTGAAAATTAATCATGCAGACATGCACTAATCGCCATACCGACTGAAATGGGTATAATACGGTTCGATCTTTTCATAAATTTTATAATTAATAAAGGAATGATGGACTGAACATATATTTTGACCGGACCAAACCGAATCAAATGAACCAAATGCAAGAATGGTACGATCTTTGATCTTAAGATGTCATTCATTAATAATAAATAAACCGTAATCTCATAAGTTGGGTCTGGAGTCCGGACCAAACCATTGCACACCCTACCATCTGATAATTATTTTATTCTGCAAATAATAAAATGAGGAAATAAGAATTAGATAATAAAATGAAAAGAAAAAAAGAAAAAACTGGACGAGCAGTTACTTGAATTTCTCGTATAAGTTCTCAGCGAGCGGCGCTTTGTTTGATTCCATCTGCTCCCAACAAATTCTCGTCGAAGTAATCAGTTCAATTCATCTCTGCGGCGAAAAAATTGCTCGGAAACTAAGCTCCAATAATGGCGACGAAGCACGACGAGCTGCCGGTCCCGATCTTCTCCTCCCTCGATCCTGTCTACGGCGGCGATTCTCAACGGGAAGAAGCTCAGCTCCGGTTCGACAAGTTGAAGTCCAAGTTTCTCCAAGTCTTCGGCCATCCCCCTGAACTCTACGCCCGCGCTCCAGGTCCATGAAATTCTCCTCTCCCAATTATTCCTCGTTTGGCCACGAGAAAGGAAATAACCGCTAGTCGGAGTTACAGAACTCGGCGGTGCACTAACTGACGAGTTGGTTTGCGAGTTTGCTTGTTTTGTTCGGCAGGACGAGTAAATTTGATTGGGGAGCACATCGACTATGAAGGCTACTCGGTGCTGCCAATGGCGATTCGGCAGGACACGATCGTGGCGATTCGTAAGCGGTCTCCATCGGAGGCGGAGAAGCTTCTTCGAATTGCGAATGTCAACGAGGAGAAGTATGCAACGTGCACTTACCCTGCGGATCCTAACCAGGTAAGTTTCCAGAATAATCATTAGAAATTGACTTCAGGGAGAAAAAGAATGGCATCATGATTTTGGATTTGGTGCAGGAAATTGACTTGAAACATCACAGATGGGGCCATTATTTCATCTGTGGGTGAGTGGGAGACTTGGAGAACCTTAAGTTTGTTTCTCTTCCCAATTATGGTGTCTGCTGTGGTTTTGTTTATGGCTTACTCGCTGTGCTTTACAGGTACAAAGGTTATTATGAATACGCCAAAACTAAAGGGATGGATGTTGGTGTCCCAGTTGGGCTTGATGTTATGATTGATGGAACTGTTCCAACTGGTATGTCAATTAAGTGGGCACTGTGGGCTCAGTTCTTTGTAGGTTAATCTCCATTTTTGGGAACTTAGACTGTACGAGTTGATTCAGGGTCCGGACTTTCGAGCTCTGCTGCATTTGTTTGTTCTGCTACTATTGCAATTATGGCCTCTTTTGGTGTCAGCATTCCAAAGGTAAACTAACCAGAAGAAAGATTTGGAGGCTTTTGTTTGCATTTTGTTCTTGGCTGCCTTCTAGAGCTACAGTTCAAATTTGTTACTCTTGTGCAGAAAGAAGTTGCTCAGTTGACGTGTGATTGTGAAAGGCATATAGGAACTCAATCTGGAGGAATGGATCAGGTTTGTTAAGTCTATATATTATCTGAATCAACATTTCCATTTGTGTATAGCTTATGCCTGAGATTTTCATATTGGAGACTACTAGATGCTGGCTTAGCCTCTCTGTTGTTGGGATTATCTATTTGACAATGAGTTACTTGGCAGGCGATCTCTGTAATGGCTAAGTCTGGATTTGCTGAACTTATAGATTTCAACCCTGTTCGAGCAACTGATGTGCATCTGCCCGATGGTGGTACTTTTGTGATTGCCCACTCTTTGGCAGAGTCTGAAAAGGCTGTCACTGCTGCAACTAACTACAATAACAGAGTTGTTGAATGCCGCTTAGCTTCTGTAAGCATTTCCCCCCTTCTTTTCTCCATTCATATTTGGGTCTGTCAGTTTTTCCTTTCCTAGGGGGTTTGGTCAGGACGAAACTCGAAACAGAATTGTAGATTTGGAGCGCAGGAAATCGATACCATCTGTGATCCGTCATCACTTTGCTGTTTGGTTTACATATCTATTAGATCATACTTGGGATAAAGCTCGGACTGAAACCAGAGGAGGCAAGATCAAAAGTCAATACCCTTTCTGATGTAGAAGGGTTGTGTGTATCTTTTGCTGGCAAACGTGGTTCTTCTGATCCTGTTATTGCCGTTAAGGTATCACTATCAACCCTCCACTTGTTTGGTCTTCATTGTCATGAAAATTGCCATTTTAAGTTTGTACCCTGCTAGTTACTGTGAATCATTTGTTTTCACTACTGCTGCAGGAGTTCTTGAAAGAAGAACCTTATACAGCTGAAGAAATCGAAAAAATAACTGGAGAGAAGCTTACAACTACATTAAGCAGTTCTGCATCCTCATTGGAGGTGCTAAAGGCAGCCAAGAACTTCAAGTTGCATCAGGTATGCGAAAAGAAATCGAAAAAATAAATGGAGAGAAGCTTACAATTATATTCCGCTTAATGAACTATTTTGCTCTGCTTGAACTCTTGCATCTTCCTGAGTAAAATGTCATAAATTTCCCATTAGGATTTTCATTTAATCGAACTCTTTGACAGCACAAACCTGTGGGACTTCTGCTTCATCTATTTACCTGGTTCTAATAACTTATCAAGCCTTATACGTTGGGTCATTCTTGTATCACAGAGGGCAGCCCATGTTTACTCTGAAGCCAAGCGGGTGCACACTTTCAAGGATACCGTGGTGGCAAATCTCAAGTATGCAGTCTTCCACCCACAATCTTGTTTAATTGCAGACTCGATTTAGCCAATTAATATTAGCACCTTTCCATGTTGGTGTTTGTTGTGATGGCATTTCACATGTTGAGCATGTAACTCACAAGGAACAGTTATTTTTTACAGGGATGAGGACAAGCTAAAGGAGCTAGGTGAGCTGATGAACGACAGCCACCACAGCTGCAGCATTCTATATGAATGCAGGTACATAATTTGTCACCTTGTACTCGTTATATGCATGCCAACTTCGACAGTCAGATCATTAGCGCAAATCTGAACTTTCAATAGAACTCCAAATGTTCTATAATCGCAAAATATCAACGAACCACACTCATTCCTCTGATCACATGATGTTCTCCTCTTCAATCTTCACTCACCAGTTGCCCGGAGCTGGAAGAACTCGTAAAAGTCTGTCGTGATCATGGAGCCTTGGGGGCCAGGCTAACAGGAGCTGGATGGGGCGGTTGTGCAGTTGCATTGGTGAAGGAAGCCATTGTCCCACAGTTCATCCTTAACTTGAAGGTATGCTAATGTTGTTTTGACGAAAGTTGATAGTAATGACAAACATATTTAACTTCGGTAGCTACTTGTTTTGCTTTGTTCTTTGTCCAGGATAAGTTCTACCAGTCGAGAATAGAGAAAGGGGTGATCAACAAGAGCGATCTGGGCCTCTATGTGTTTGCTTCGAAGCCTTCCAGTGGTGCTGCTATTTTGAAGCTCTAGACCCTGTTCAATCATCATATGAACCCCGTTTCCATAGCCATCTTGTAAGAAGTTAGTTTTTACCTTTGTTTATGCACAAAATTATAACATGAGTATCAGTACATTGTTATTGTTGGATTGTTAGAAACCAATTTCTGTAGGGTTTCTCTATTATTTATTATGCTTATTATTAGGATAATTCTTATTATGGTTAGTAGTCTTTTAGTAGAATTAGGTTTATTAGTAGGGTTTCCTAGTGTTCCCTATAAATATGTACTTTGAGTCTACGTTACGATCAGTCAAGAAAGAATTATCAAATAATCTCCTAAACCCTAATCTCTCCCTATCCTCTCAATTCTCGATCCCTATCCCTCCAAGGCCTCGGCCGATTCTCTATTCTATTCTTCTTCTTCCCCAAATCCCCAATCTCAATCCCTAATTCTATTCGTATAAACCCTAATCCCCACATATCAAATCCGTTAGAAACTTTGTTTCTAACATCTGGTATCAGAGCCATGGTCGAAACTTTGAGTTCGTCACAACTCTCAATCGGGGACGAACGAGTATATGAAGACTTCAAACCTGACAGCATGAGGATGGAGCTACGACGTAGCGTTGTCTTGTTCTTCACCTTGCCTGGATTCGAAGAGGAGCACGTAGATGTGCAGGTGGTTGGATCTGATGTGCTAGCAATAACGGGACAACGACCGTTGGCTGATGATCACAGGTGGCTACGATTCAAAAAGCAAATTAGATTCAGAGCAACCCACGACATCAAACGGTATCGTACTAAGTTTGGGGAAACTGCTTTCATCCTTCAAATCCCAAAAATCATCGCACCTCTTGTCCACAACGAGGAGGCAACAACTGAAGTTCCACCACAGGTTGAGGAGACGCCGGTAAATCTTGAAGCACCACCACTGCCGCACGTCTTTATTGAACCACCAGCCAAGACAATGAATGAGGAAGAAGAACCAGCGGAGAGCTGCGTTGCAGTGGGGGTGGCCAAATCGCAGTCTTTGCTGTCCGATGCAAAGAAGATGGGTGAGGTTCAACCGCTGTCGTCACCAACAGCTAACTCTGCCGCCAGCATGGTAACCGCAACGGCGTCAAGGGAGACGTTGCCGACCTCCATCGGCTGCTGGAAGTTCCGGAGTGAAGAGGAGCAGGGGACGGCCAAAGGAGAAGTTGACAATTCTCCTGAGCAAGCGCATCAGATCGGTAGCCGGACCTTTCTAAATCCGACCACTCTGCCACCGAGAAGACCACCGGACGATCGACCATCGTCAATTACGGGTCTCGACGCCGACGAATGGGAAGAGGCAGAGAGGGCGTCGAGCTATAAGAAGGCGTGTTCGCTGACGGAACGGGAGATGATAGCGAAACCGCCGGGGGATGAAGGGAGGAAGGAGCAGGGTCGCCGAGCTGCGATTTGGACCGTGATGATGTCAGCGACTTCAAGTGTGGCGCCGACCCGGAAGCTGGAACAAATTGCGATGACGAAAGAAAGCCGGACTCTAGGCTGGACGTCGATCCGCCTACCACCGAGGAATCAGACGAAGAAGGAGACCAGCAAGGTCTCCTCTCCCTTTGTGACAATACATCTGACCGGGAAAATGACGACAGTTCCAGAGACGGCGTCAGGCGGCGGAAGGGCAAAGGCAGGACCGGATCGGGTCTTGCTATCTAGCCGACGGCTCGCGAAGGCCTTCTTCGTGTCGACAATGCAGGGGAAGTCGGGGAAGAAGGTTAGCCCGACGGCCCTGGGATTGCCTTCCACTGGTTTGGGGGCTTGCATGTCGCCGGCGAGGAAATTGAAGAAGGTTTCGTTGGCGGTGGAGACAAGCGGCGCCTCTCTCCTTGAGATCCCTAGGTCGCCAACGCGGAGGCTGAAGCTGCAGCAGGGGGAACCAGGTCCATTGGGCCTGAATAGTTGGGTCGTTTCTCCTAATGAGCCTGGTCGAGTGAGCCGATTCAAAGAGGACCAGGCTGATCACAAGCAACTAGACGTGTTCACTGCTTTGGGCCGAGGAGCAATACACGAGCAGCCCTTTCAGTCGGGCCTAGCAAGCCTTGGTCGCGCACTGGCCAGGAAGACGAGGTCGGTTACTAGCAGCTGGAACTGGTCGAGTGGGCCGCCATCTGGGGTGGATCGGGCCGCAAAGAGGTTTGGTCACAGGCCGAGCCAAGCAAAATCCCATGGGTTTCAAGGGAGAGATGACACGAAACGTGAGGAATGGCTTAAGCTTCAATTGGGTTGTCTTTTGAAGAAGTTTGGCTGCGAGAATAAAGAAAGTGGGCCAATACAACAGGTACAGATTGGGCTTCCGTTGGTCTGTTTGGTTCACTCCCTTCCACATGTTGTAAAGAAGAAGGACGAGGGATTTGGAAGCTTAGCTTGTGGGCTTTCAGGGAAGTATGGCCCAGAAGATATTAAAGATCCAATAACGCAATTCAATGGTCTAAACCCTCCAAAGAGTCTTAAGGGCCTCGCTCAGTTGGTTATTAAAAATAGATTCTTATACCAAGAAGTATCTTTGAATTCTTTAAGTTCATGGAGGGTGATGCAAAAGAAAGTGGAGTTATCAAAAAATGAGATTGCTCAAGGAAGGGAGGATTGGATCCCCTATCGTGGCATCAACAAATTCGTTTCAATTCCAGAAGATCATGGCAAGAAGCCAATATCGAAGTTAGAGCATGATTGGAAGAAACGGAAGCGCAAGAAATGGAGGAGTCAACGTGCGGATTGCGCGAGAAGGAAGGAAGAGTGGATCAAGTCAGTCAACCTTGAGGGCAAGGTTGGTCTGAAGGGGGAGGAGATGTTAGAAACCAATTTCTGTAGGGTTTCTCTATTATTTATTATGCTTATTATTAGGATAATTCTTATTATGGTTAGTAGTCTTTTAGTAGAATTAGGTTTATTAGTAGGGTTTCCTAGTGTTCCCTATAAATATGTACTTTGAGTCTACGTTACGATCAGTCAAGAAAGAATTATCAAATAATCTCCTAAACCCTAATCTCTCCCTATCCTCTCAATTCTCGATCCCTATCCCTCCAAGGCCTCGGCCGATTCTCTATTCTATTCTTCTTCTTCCCCAAATCCCCAATCTCAATCCCTAATTCTATTCGTATAAACCCTAATCCCCACATATCAAATCCGTTAGAAACTTTGTTTCTAACATGGATGGTGGAATATAAATAAAAATTTCGGTCTTTCAGAACTGTGGTGGCGTTTGCTCATCATTTTCCTACCTAAAAGCCGTCTACCGGATCACTCTCTTTAGGTTTATAATATCTGGTGTGATCATGTTTAAAGTTTAAACTTGAAAAGATCCGAGTCTAGAAATACAGTGTCAGTCCCTAATCCTTATTGTATGGCGTGTTTAAGATTAGTTTGTTTTGTTATTTTTGTAAAAGTAAAAAGTATGATTTGTGACCCTTCTCAGAATTAAGGTTAGGATGACAAAAATATCTGAGACCATAGATATCCACCCGAATATGAACTAATCGGTAAAAGATAAAACTCCAACTCGAACGATTTTCAGTTGGTATGGTTACAATTCGAATTCTAAAATTGCGGATAATGGGTGGACATGGTTTTCTCACTATCCAATCCGAATCAGCCCGATTATACACATGCATGATGCATGTGTATTTTGTCTAGATATTATCATTATTTTTCTCGACATAATAAATTGGGATGCACTATTTGTAGCCTTAACTTTTTTTTTTATTTGTAGCCCTAAATTAAAAAATTATATTAATATCCATCATATATAAATGCACACATTTCAAGACCAAAAAATTGAAACACTTTCCTCAAACACATACCTACTTTCTTCGCCGCCGGCGACCTCCACCACACACCGGCGATCGCCACCACCGCCTCCGCGCCTCCAGGAAACGATGTCGAGAAGGTAAAATTTGGCGGCAAAAATTTATTGGGACTCTAGCGACGCCTTGGCCTGAATCTGATACTTCCCTTATAAACCACTGTCGAGGATAGCCACTGGTGAGGTAGGTCCCTTAGACTTGGGTTGGACCTGGTAATGGTTAGGAATCTTGTTTATAAGATCCCTCCCCTCAGAAGGTTTAGGAGATGAGCCCTGAACAGCCTTAGAGACTAAAGCACTATCTCTCTTCTTCGTGTTGTGGTTGACAGGGGAACTCTTTTGGTTCCCTTTTTTAGTTGACTACCCTGCTGTACATTCTTGCCTTTAGCCTCCTTCCTCACTTTACTTTCCTGGGCTTTCCTAAGTTTTTTTAGGGAGAGGCTCCAAATCGTCTTCAATGATATTGATGCTCGTTGCCTTTGTGTTGACATCACTCTTGCTGAGAATCTGTTGCGGATTAGTGTCTGGGCTCATAGTATCAGTGTCAACCATTCTCTCCTCCTCATCACCGTTTTGACCATCCTTAGTTTCATTAGCATCTTCCTCCCACAGAGTAGCGAACCTGTATCCCGATTTTCGATCGTCCCTAGCTTTCACCTTGGCTCCCGTCTCACCTCCACTGTTCCTAGATTTTTGCTGCTGCCTTCTATGTTTAGGTCTAGTGGGCAACATCCATGGGACGAAGTACTCCACCACTTCTGGCTGACTTCTTGATTCCCAATCGGCTTGTTAGGGGCAGCAGCTCTTTCCTCTAGGGATGCATTGCTTTCTTTCCACCGACAAGAGTACTCCAGGTGGCCATAGTGCCCACAAGTGAAGCCAGAAGTGTGGAGTCCCTCATACTCCACTCGACGAACTCTCCTCTTCAGGAGGTACTTGGAAACCAATCTCTTTCTCAAATCGATTTCAATGCATAGGCGTGCATAGTTACCCTGAAACCCGTTGGTGGTGTTGTAATCCATCTTCTCTACCCGACCAAGCTTGTTGCCAATGTCAACAAGATTTCCTCATCAAAGTAAGTAGGGGGAAGTCGAGGAAGACGAACCCATACCGCAACACGGTTGATATCGTTGAAGTCCGGATCGAAGTCAAGGCGCCAAGGCTCTACAGAAATATAGTGATCATCATCCACCGTCCAAGGTCCTCTATAGAGCGCTCTACTGTAATAATTCTGCGAATCAAAGATGGCCTGGTAGTACCCGTTGCCTATGTCTCCAATCTTCACACCTCTGGTTTTTGCCCACATACTCTGTGCACGCCTTTGGATGAAAGCAAATGAGAAAATTTTGCCCAGGACGCGGAAAGTGATGGCCCTGCTCCAGTGACGTTGTACCCTTGTATTGATACTTTTCTTAA